CCCCAAAACCCCAAAACCCCAAAACCCCAAAACCCCTTTTCAGATTTTTTATTGATTTTCATAATATTATTAATGGAACAAGAGTTCAGCGATCTTACATTGAATAATACTGCATCTTGATTTAAGCCAGACTCAATAAGATACAATATTCCTCCTGAATTGAAGACTCCCTATGTCATTGTAGGGTCACTTTCGATTATTGCTGCTACCTTTTTGTTTGTGACTATCTTCACTGTCAAAAAGCTGAAGGCTCACCCCTCAATAATGATAGGATATATATCGCTTTTTGAGGCAATAAGTGCTTTCCACTCAATATTGTGGGCTGTTTCAACCTTGGAATATGTTGAGTATTTTGGCCTAGGACATTTGTTCACCTGGACAATCACATTCGACCAAAGTTCTACGTATCATTCTTGATTCACTTTATGAATACTCAACCAACTTCTTGGGTTTTCACTATTTTCTGTCTTATCTTTGGGAATGAATATGTGCTTGTGCATAGACTTAGTCTTGACTCTAAGAGCTCCATTCTATCCAGCCAAGAGAAGGTTCAAGTTCTATCTGATGTTTTCATTCTTATTATCAATAATCATGATGATTGTATCTATACCAAAAGTAAAGGATACCTGACCATCAGCAACAGAGGCAAATGCATCACAGAGGCAAAATTCTGCAATGGCTGTTATACTGACTTTGTATATTCTTGTGTCTCTATTTTCTATCGTATATGCTGCAAGGATGCTATCCAGGCCAGGAATATCTTCAGAGATTAGAGATATCTTCATGAAAAAGCATGTCTTGTATTCATTATCATTTATTATTATCTGGACATTAAATCTTCTAAATACTTATCATGCCCTTTATAGGGATATTGGTAAGAAATCCCTAGAGGCTGAAGGACTCAAAGCAGAAGGATATAGCCTACAATACATTCGACTTCCAAGTGGACTTGAGGTACAAGTCAGAGTTAATGAGGATACTAATGAAGCCCATTTTACTGTCTTCCAAATAATCAGTGTTTTTGCCAGTCTTTCGACCGGATTAGTAATGGGAATCATCAGATGTTTTGAACCCTATTTTGCATTTTTGATGGTCAGAACATTCAAATCATTTTATGGAGTGACTGTATCTGAGGAGGAGATCAATGAGAGGAACAACAAGTTGACAGATACTATATCTGCATTCTTGAACTCTAGTTTGAACATAGAGCTAGTCCATATCATTCTCAAAGCCATCACTCAGGAATGCACGAAGTTTGAATTAGAAGAAGGAGCTTGGGCAAATCAACCGATTTCGGATACTAATTTTTCAGAGAAAAAGAAATGCAAAATCCATGAAATTGAAATAAAAGATCCAGCTAAATGGGGTCTATTTGATGAGCCAGTCAAAGCTCTATCAAATGTCAAGTTTAATATATTAAAAAGAGAAGATGGCATGTCCGATGATAAAGATATCCTTACAATTAATGAAGATATCGCTATTGAAGAACTTGCTCCAACAATATTTGCAACTATTCGAAACCAAGAGGGGATAACTAAAGAGCACATTATTGAATCGTTGTCACCTGAATTCAATCGAGACATGGTGTTTAAAGCAGGAGAAGGACAAGGAAAAAGTGGATCTTTCTTCTTCTTTTCTCATGATAGAAGATTTATCATCAAGACCATGAACGATGAGGAATATCAAACCTTCAAAAGAATATTTCGGAAATATACTAGGCATCTTTTAAAACATCAAGATAGTCTTTTAGCAAGAATTTTCGGGATTTTTACAGTAAAAAGAGAAAAACTTACTCCAGTACATCTAATCCTAATGGGCAACACCTGCACCCTTCAAGGCAAGAAGCTAAAGTACATGTTCGATCTCAAGGGATCTTTTGTCAATAGAGAGACTAAAGTAGGCAAAGTTCACAAGCCATCTCAGACATTGAAGGACATCAACCTTTTGAACCTAAAGATGCAAGAGAACTTCCTAAAGTTCACCAAAGTTGATGCTGATAAGATCATGGAGCGAATGAAGAAGGATGTACCTATCCTAAAAAGAGGAAATATTATGGATTATTCCTTACTTTTAGCAATTGAGGAGAACCCTAATTATGGAAGACAAGCTGCGTCATCATTGAAGAAACTCTCGTCAGATCTTGAAGAGGTTCCCCTTACCCAAAAATTCAGTATCCAAAATCAGGAAGAGGAGAGTAAGAATATTGATGAAGAAGATAAGACCCCAGATGAAGATACCGAGCCCTCTCATGCTACAGATTTTCAAGAATCTCGTCACATGTTCATGAGCAGTAACATGCAGTATATTTACCATATCTCCATTATCGATTACTTGCAGGATTATAACTTTGATAAGAAGCTAGAGAATTTTGCTAAGACAATTATGAGAGGAACTAAAGCAGAGATCTCAGCAGTCAATCCAAAGAGATATAGAAAGAGATTCATCGATTTTATGGAGAGCGAAGTAATTGTAGTCGGAAAGAAATCAAACTCTTTTAAAATTGAAAGATTAGAGTCTAAATAAACAATTAATTTCAGTTTCTGCAACCTAAAAAGGGGTTTTGGGGTTTTGGGGTTTTGGGGTTTTGGGG